GGCATTACAACCTTCTGTCTGGGGCACGTTTATGTCACGAGTTTCTCCTTAACGGGCACGGGACTCCAAATGTGCAAGGAAGTGTTAAGATGCAGACATACCCGAATTGCGGTTGCCCCCCACCCCCAGAGGAGCTGATTTACGGCCCCCAGCGTGGGTTTTCGCGCAATCCATAAACACCACTGTGTTAACTAGCCGGGGGCGGGGAACGGGTGATTAAGGGCCTCCCTCAGGGTCTCATCTGACCTTCCAGGAGTTTTCAGCTCTCGTGTGGGGGGTGGGGGGGCATCCGTAACAGCATTAAAGCCACCCAGGGTAAAAGAATTAAAACCCCCCAGGAAGAAGCACTGAGAGCTTTTACTTGCCTCAACCTCCAGTTGGGAAGAAGCTAGCTGCTTTGTTAACACGTGAAGCCACCGGAGGACTTTTTTTCTAAGGGACTTTCATGAAGACAGGCGAAGCTCTAGAAATTGCGCCATGTCAGGTGTGAAAGGCAGCTGGGGGAGAGCCGCTGGTAGCCTTTCCACTCCTCCCTCCCTTGCTCCGCTAAGAGAAAACTGGCCTGACCCTGGTCCTTAGAAAACGACTGACAACAGGAAGGAAGCGTATTAACCCCTCTGCTCCCCCCTCTTTTTTCCCCGGGTGAGAGCCGACTCCTCCTCCTCTTGGTCGTGCGACCCTGGTGTAAAGTGCGAGCACCCGCCTGCTTTCCGCACCCTGCCCTCCGCTCCCAGCCCAGGAAGAGGCGAGAGGGAGGGTGCAGCCCAAAGCCGAGTCCGGCAAGTCCGTCCACTCGGCGTGACCATCCCCGGGCGAGACGCCCTGGATCCCGCGACTCTCGCGCCGGCGGGCACCGCGGGTGCCGCGTTCACCTGCTGGGCTGCGGAGTTTGCAGTCTGCACCGCTCGCTGCTCCTAGCCTGGTCCCCCAGCCGCGCAACACCCCGCGTCCCTGTGCCTCGCGCAGGTGGTGCAAACGCCCCGGCTCTCCGGCGCCCCCTGCCGGGGAGAGGGACGGCGGCCGCGGAGGAGCCGCGCGCAGGGCGGGGAGCGGGCTCCGGCGCCGGGAAGAAGTCGGGAGCGTCCCTGATGGTGCCGCCGTCTCCGAGCCGGGGAGGAGCGGCGAGGGGGCAGCTGGGCAAGAGCCTGGGTCCGCTGCTGCTGCTCTTGGCGCTGGGGCACACGTGGAGCTACCGAGAGGACCCTGAGGACAGCGACAGGTAAACGCCGGCAGCCTCTGGTGCGCTCTCGGCCCTCGGGGTGCAGGCGGTGTCCCCACCTCCGCAGCGACCCTCAGGCCCTCGCTGCGCCAGGCACGGGCTGGGCGCTCGACTGGCCTGGGCGACATTAAACGTCTCCTGGGTCACCGCTTCGGCGCCCTCAGCCTGGGGTCCCCTCAACCGTGATACTCCTGCCCCGCATCCTGCTGTCCCCCGGTGCCCGGCTTCTTCGGCTCCTTGCTCTGGGGCTGGGTTCTCTCGGCTGGACCCTCGGCTGGACCCTCGGCTGGACCCTCGCCTGGCCTGCCCCTGCCCCGAGCCCTCTCGGTGTCCGCGCTCGGGGACCAGAGCCGGCTTGGCTCTCCTGGACGCGGACTCCCGCAGCCTCGCGCACTCAGGATCCCAGAGCGCGCGCTGGCCTCCGCTCCCCCGCGGAGAATCAGCGACTGTGACTCTCCACCTTTTTTCTTTCTTTCTATTGTAGAGAAGTCTGCTCAGAAAACAAAATCGCCACGACTAAATACCCGTGTCTGAAGGCTTCGGGTGAGCTCACCACGTGTTTCAGGTAAGCCTCGGGGCTCTGCTGAGTCACCAGGGCGCACCGCGGCAGGTGGGAAGGCGGCGCCTCAAAGGTGTTTGGAGGCGCGCCCGGGGACCAGGGGGCCACGGTGCTGCCGGGACCTGCTGGGTGAGCTCTCCGAGGTGCAAACCTTTGTGTGTGTGGTTTCTGGGCCAGGGCAACGACGACGGCAACCCCGCGTGTGCACCTAGAGTTTGTGTCCTGAGGTCGGGTGGCTGTTTCCTGCTCCCTGGAATACTTGGCATGGAGGAGGTCGGAGGGGAAGAGAGCGAAAATTTACAAGCAAAGTGGATCGGATTGTGGGTGTAAACAGCAAGGCACAGTAAAGACGAATGGCTGCTGTTGCGTTTTTTGTTTTTTTGTTTTTTTGTTTTTTTGGAAATACAACGTGAACTAGTGAATACTTGGCCCTCGGCTGTCTGTTGACCTTGTGCAGGGACAGAGTGTAACACTGTCACGGTCTCTGGGCAGAAGGTTGGCGGGAGCATGGCCGACTGTTGATATGGTTGTGTTGAGTGCAAGCAAGCGTCAATATTGAGCCACAAGGAGAAAAAGAACAGTCTCTTTGAAAATACTGTCCATAGATCACTTGAGTGTTCGTTCAATCAGTCGCCTGGGTGCTCCTTAAAACTGAGCCTGGATAGAGCTGGGAATCTAGTTTGGAAAATGCTCTCCAGGTGGTTCTGATTCTCAACAAAAAGTAGAACCACTGTTCTCTGCGAGCCTTTTGGAGGTGAGTGTTGGTATGCTTTTTTTTTTCACCACTGAGTCTTGGCTTCTGTTCCAGTGCTTTCACTGGATGCAGGAGGCATGCACCCATAAGCATTTATTAGTCGCCTGATTTTAAAAGGTTCTGTGTAGGGTACTGGGATCTCACACTCATACCAGACTCCGTCTGTCTTTGGGAACGATGCACTGTTTGGGGTGCCAAGATAAATACTGGGTTGTACTAGGTAACACTGCAACCCCCACAGGTGAAGTTGAAAGAAAAGGACGTTTACTATTCATAATGTAGCAGATGAATCAACTGTAATGCTTTCAGCTACAGGGAGTGTTATTTCACATTCTCAGAGGTTCAGGTGTAAGTCGCTCCAGGGCTGGTCACTTTAGCGATGCAAAGGCACCATTAGCTATGGCGCGTACCGTGCTTTAAAATCTGTCACTGGCAGTGGAATGTTGACAACCATTTAGATGAATCAGAAGTCACTCCTCGGGAAGGGCTGCCTTCCCTGGGATGTGGGCTGTGAACACTGAACAAAATGGGTGAGGGTTAGAGGAGGGGTAGGGGGATATGTGCAACAGGCAGGTAAAGACTGAAGGAGTTAGCTGGGTAAACAATGTCACCCAGCTGGCGAAATGACCTGGTGGTGCTGGCACCAGGATTGCTTGCCTGGTCTCAGCCCTGTGTTTCATCCACACGACCAGTTTTTCTTAGGACGCATCGTTTTTCTACCATTGCAGAATAAGCCTCTAATTTAAAAAGTGTCCCTGAGATGGTTTACAGGCAGGTAAAGACTGAAGGAGTTAGCTGGGTAAGAAATGTCACCCAGCTGGCAAAATGACCTGGTGGTGCTGGCACCAGGATTGCTCGCCTGGTCTCAGCCCTGCGTTTCATCCACATGACCAGTTTTTCTTAGGACGCATCGTTTTTCTATCATTGCAGAATAAAGCCTCTAATTTAACGTGGAAAGTGTCCCTGAGATGGTTCGCTCACTTGTTCAGTCCCTGAAGGTCAGGCTGCACGTAAATCAGTGACAGTTACAGAATGCATGTCCAATTTTTAGGAGCAGAGGGAAGGCTGATTAGTGTTCTAAGCTGATTTCATTTGTTATGCTGTTACTGCTGTTTTTCTTCCAGACCTTTAAGACAGCACTCTTTCACACCGAGACTCTAAATGAGACACTAGCAGTGTTTTGATGTGTCTTCACTAACAGCTATCTAAAGAAACAGCTTATGAGCACGGACAAAAAAAAGGTATCTTATATCACAGAGAACAGTAAAGAACTTTGTTTTAGGAAGTGGGAGGAATGGGAAAGGATGTTTTCAACTGCAGAAAATGGAAATGGTCCCTGTGAATATGAAGTGATTTGGTTAAGTGACTTCTTCATAGGAGTCAAGAGTTCTGTGTGCACTCCATTGGTTTTAAGCTATTATCATAATTTACTAATTAAAGTTGGCAGTTGAAACCCAAGAATGGGGGAATGCTATGTGCTCCTTGGTTTGTGAATTATAGTTGTCCTGGCCCTGCGGACATCTTGCTACTTCCAGACAGTGTGGTCTGGAAAGCAGCTGCAGGAGCATCCTCTGGGAACTTTGTTAAAGTCCTGGGCACCTCCCCAGACCTCCTGAATCCCCCTGATTCAGGGTTAATGAGATGTGCATTAAAGCTGGAGAAACTCTGCTGTAGAAACCAGGGTTCCCTACCTGGGTCACAGTGCAGACCCATTTAGACGGGTCTTCGGAGGCACGTGGAGGCCTTTGCAGACGGAGCGAGTAGTTAGCCCTTCTACCATGTTAACCTTGAACCAGACCAAGAACCAGTTTTCAGGGAAAGTGGACTCTTCAGTCTTTGATGATCTTTTACGTAGAGTCCCACTATTTACCTAATGTTTTTGATGGATGGCTTTAGCATAAGACAACTCCAGAAGTCACTTCTGAACTTGTTGAAAGTGATTTTTTAAAAGCGATTTAAAAAAAAATCATTGATATGGAAGGTGGATTTAAAACTACAATGAGTACGGTAGATGTAGTAAACCTGAACTGCCATTATACCTAGAAAGATATGGACACCTAAGTGACGTGGAGAAGTTGGGTTCAGAATAACCTTTGTTCTGGACCCTCCCACCACCTTTGTACACTTCTGCTTTTACATGGTTTGACCTAAGCAATACCTTTCCACTTCAGCCTTTTATAGGATATGTTAAAGAATGACAATTTAAGGACTTTGTGTTTAGCACCGTTTAATGTACGTTATTTTATCTAACTCTCAAAGCCACGCTCTAGGATTTGTATCACCTCGACTTTACAGAGGAGAGAACTCAAACTCAGAGGGGTTCAGAGAACTTGCCCAGGGTCACAAAGGTAATGCAGGTGAGAGCCAAGATTCAAACCCAGGTTTGTCTGACATCAAAGTCTGGGCCCTCTCATCATCCTGGAGGTGCCTACATATGAGGTCGAACTTTGCAGATCCTGCGAGCTAAGAAGACCATAGATTCAGATGACTATCAGTTCAAAAGACAATTTGATAGAAAACTCTCAACATCCATCAGGACCAGTGTTTTTTTAATGAATTATCACCCTCTAGATCTGTCTTAAACAATTGACTTCATATCATATTATACATAAAATTGGTTCATACATATATATCTTTCCTTGTAGGATTTTATCTTAATCACAGGGTCTATGTCTCTAGAGGCTTTCTACCCCAATATACATCGTGGGTACTTGTACCCAAAGTTTAATATTCGTTTGAATGAATGCCAATGACAGCGTATGGAGCTTAAAGTACAAATTTGCTCAGCATTATAATCTGACGTAGGGCATACTCTTTTGCCAGTAGTTAAGATTTTAGAGTTGATATGTGATTTATCTGATGCTGAATTTATTATAGCCAAACCAAGCATATAAAGTTATCATGGCATTTACCCCTTTTGTGGCTATTAAAGCTTTTCCCCGCAAGTTGAGTTTCCTTTTATCTCCCAAAACAATGTAGTTTGAACAAAAGGTTTATATTTACTTTTTTTTATTGGGTCTCATATCAATAAAATGAGATGTTAAAAGGCTTTTAAAAAAAAGAACACATGTATAGGAAATGTCAATAAAAGCAATTTTTATTGAGTGAGGCTCTGTCTAATAAACATTCTACTTAACTTTTTCCCTCTATTAAGGATTTATTGAGCATTTACTATGAGCTTAAAATAGTCTTAGAAAATGAGCATAGAAGAATTAGCTATAATCCCTGGTTTTAGTCAGTTTACAGACTTGATTTTTACACTAAGGCCTTTGAATCTGTAACCAATACAGAATGGTACATGATTGAGTTCAAAGTCATGTAGTTTGTACTGCACATCAGTGACAGGGAAGAGAGAGGCAGCTAGGAATGGTGTTACGGGTAAGAGAGATTTAACTTTGTTTTTCAACAAGTCTCTTTAGTGTTAGATGTTTAAGTTGCATTAGCTATGATGTTCAGCCTTGCGATTGATGCCTCCAAGTGGGAGCCTGAAGGTGCCCCTAGGCTGTATTTTCCGGTCCTTGGTGTCTCACCAGGCACTGCTTTTGCTCACAATCGTGTTCCCATGGGAAGTAATGACACAGGGATGGAAAAATTCCCACTTTGAGATAATACAACAGTGTTGCCAAGTCCTATTAAAACTTGGAAATTAGTGCGACATTTCTGCAAATGTGTTTACTTGGAGTTTGGAGAACAAGGAGGGCAGTTAATTATAGCAGCATCACCAGATTGAGAACACCCATCTAGCTAAGGCTGCATCAGGGGAAAGACTGGAGAATGTACCATCTGCTAGGTCGCTGAGTTCTACAGAGGGCTCTGATAATGTCAGACATGCACAGTAATAGAAATTCTGCCTGGGTTTGAATCCCGGCTCTATTTATTTTATGACTTTGAACAGTTTCTTAATCTCTGTGCTTTAGTTATATCCTCTAAAGTGAGGATCGTATTAGTACTGGAGTTAGAGGGTTACTGTGAAGATTAAATGAGTTGATTCACATGGGAAGTGCTTGACTATTACCTCTCGTGATCACTACTGCATGATGAGTGCACGTAGTAGATGCTCAGTGGACATTTGTTGAGTTTGGAGCTTTTTGGTAGACATTTTTGAAGGTGCAAATTCAGACCACAGCCAGAAACAGGGTGTTTATTTTACCAGTCACACATCAGTGTTTTTTAGATGCTTTCTCAAATGTAGGATAGCCTAGCCTGGGAATAAGTACAAAGAATATCTCTTTGCCTCCTGCCTCTGACCTAG